GACCATAACTGACACCCAAGCAGATATATGCACACCCATGTTAATTGCAGCTTTGTTCACAATAGCAAGGAGTTGGAAACAACCTAAGTGCCCATCAACAAACGAATGAATAGAGAAGCTATGGTATATTCACACAATGGAATACTATGCTGCACTGAAAACAAGGAACTCATGCAATATTATTCAAAATGGGTGACCCTGGAGGACATTATGCTGAGTGAAATATCTGTCACAAAAGGACAAATACTTCATGGTGCCACTGTTTTAAAACAGGAATGACATCGGTGTTGGGGGCAGACTGAAAAAGATGCAACAAATAGTGTATACTGCATTGAAACAGATGAGGGAGAAAACTATTTAAAAGAGATATTTGATTAGGTATTTTTGTCATGACAGGAGTCCAGAGCAAAGGCTGCATAGTGGAGTGGATCTGGAGGGAGGGTTTGTAAATCAATGAAAGAATTTTTCTTTTACTTTTCCAAGAGGGTAGTGTACTGGCGGGGGGGGAGGGTTGGGAGAGGAGAAAAGTGCAACAATGAACGAATGGAAATCCAAAGTCTCTGTAAAGTTTCATTGAAATTAATAATAAATTTTTTTTAAAAATCTCTATTTAAAAAAAAAAAGCAGTCCTAGTCTATGGTATAAAGAGACTGCCAAATATAGCCAGAAATGCACAATCTGGAGAGGATAAAATTGATGAATGGGACTTTCTAAAAATTAAATCTCTCTGCTCATCAAAAACTTTTTCCAAAAGAAAACCTATAAACTGGGTGGGGGGGGAACTTTTGGCAATACCATCTCAGGCAAGGGTCTCATAACAAAAGTTTACAGAATACTCATGGGCCTCCATGGAACCTGGAAACAGCCCAAATGTCCAATCACAATCAAATGGATTGGAAAAATTGTAGTACATTCATACAATGGAATACTATGCAGCACTCAGGAGCAAGAATTTTGAAAAATACTATATAACTTGGGAGAGACTGGAGAGCATTATGCTGAGTGCACTAACTCAGTCTCACAAGGATAAATATTGCATAAGACCATTATTGTAAAAATAGAAGGATGACATGTATGGAGACCCAAAGAGGGAAGGGATGGGAGCAGAGGGGTGAGGATGGGTAGGGGTGAAGTCACATGTTTGCTCAATTTGGTGACTGGAGGGCAGGGGTGAAGGAAATAGGAAGGATCTGGCTGGGACCTGAAAAGACAGAGTAATGATGGGCATGGTCCAATGGTGATTAATTTTATAAAATATAATGCATGTGAATGATTGTATGAAACACAATGTGAATAAATAATAGTGTGAAACACAATGTATATAAATTTTGTAAACCAATCAACACAAAATTTAAAACAAAACAACAACAACAAAAGATTAGGGGCAGAGAGTTTATCTCAATGAAAGAGAAAAAAATAAACCCCAACTCAGAAAAGGAGTTAAGAATGGTCACACAACTCACAAAGGTTGTACATGCAGAAACCATTAAATTGGTGTATATTTTCAACATCTGAAGAAAAGAAGTGACCAATGTTAGTAGGGTGGGAGTTGAGAAAATGTCTATGACTCAAATGAAATTTTAACTCTGATAGAACATAATCACAATCTGTTTTGTGCTTGGGTTTTTTCCCCCCTATTTTGGCTTGAGTGAAAGTTTACAAATTATATTGTTTTTCAATCAACAATTAATATACATTTTGTTTTATAATGTTAAATACAATCCCCATAAGTGCTAATTCAAGACTTGAATATTGCCAAATATAGACTATTACTTCATTATCAAGGATTAAATATTGCCAAATACAGACTATTACTTTATTATCTTTCCCTTTGGCTACCTTGTTGTTATGTGCCACTGAGTCAGAAACGACTCATAGCTGAGCCTGCAGTGGGTTTTCAGAGGCAGTAAATTACAGAGGAAAAGACTGCTCATTTTTCTCCCTAGAAGCAATTGTTAGATTTAAACCTCATGCCTTCAGGTTGGTACCACAACTCCTTACCATTAGGCCACTAGAGCTAGTGGTTACGTTTGTTTACTTCCTTCTTTCTCCCTTTCCCTCTGGGGTAGCAATACTAAAATAATCCTATCTGTATGTAAACTTTCAATTGGCTTTTTATGATAGCTGTCTTATACAATATTTGTTCTTTTGTGACTGGCTTATTTCACTCAGCATAATGCCCGTTAGATTCATTCATGTATATGCAGTGTTTCCTGAATTCTTTATTGCCTTTTAATGTTGCATTGTGGCACTCTAATTAGAGACACTGGCTCAGGACAGGGCAGGCTTCAGAGCTGCTGTCCATAGGGTCTCTATCAGTCGCAGGGAAATCGATGGCACATAACAACAACAACAACAACAACTATGGGAATGTACCATAGTTATTCATTTATCTGTTGGTGGGCACTAGGATTGTTTCCATATCTTTGCTGTTACGATTAATATAGCAATAAACACGGAAGTGCATTTATCTGTTTGTATTGCTCCTTTTATTTCTTTAAGATATATATCTAGTAGTGAGATTGCTAGATCAAACATTTCTATTTACAACCTTTAAAGGAACTGCCAAACTGCTTTCCATAGTGGTTGCACCATTTTGCATTTCCACCAACACTATATGAGAGTTCCAATGTCTCCACACCCTTGCCCATTTGTTGTTTAATGGCTTATTGAAGTTTTCTAGGGTGAAGTGATACTTTGTTGTTTTTATTTGTTTCCAAAAGTAATAGAAAAGACTGTGGTTCAATTTAGAGGTAAACTAGGCCTCATAACATGGGACTTACACCTGGCAGGGAACTGAGTTATTAAAACCAGTTTAATGGTTAAGGAGTGTTGGGCTTCCTGAATTACGTTGTGGGGGCCAAAAAGTTCTCCTTGTGAAGCATGAAATATTTTTTTTTGAGATCTACAATGAACTTCAAAATTTAAAAGCCTCCAACAAACAGAAATTTGTACACCAGTGCTCATAGCAGCATTATTCACTATCACCAAGAACATGGAAACGCATGTTTCAACACATGTCCAACCACAATGGATTGAGAAATTGTGGTACCTTCACATGATGGAATCCTACTCAGCACTCAAGAGCAACAATTTCAAAAGACACTGTATATACTGGAGAGCACTATGCTGAGTGAAACAACTCAATTTCATAAGGACAAATACTGTAGAAATTGTTACTGTAAAAATAAAAGGATAACTAGTAAAACGTGTATGGAGGTCCAAGAAGGGAAAGGAGAACAGAGAGATGAGGGTGGGCAGGGGGAAGTCATAGGGTCACACAGTTTGATGGGTGGAGGGAGGATGGAAAGGAAATGGGAAAGATCTGGTGGGGGATGGAGTAACGGTGGGCATAGTTCAATGGTGATTAATTTTATAAACACAATGTATAGTAATGATTGTATAGAAACACAAAAGTGTGGAACATAATCTACACAAATTTTTTATGAAAACCAATAAAAAATATTTTTTTTAAATTAGAAGTCTTCCCTAGTGGCAAGACACTGCACTGCAATACCAGAGGTACGCGGTTCAAATCCACCAGATGCTCTGCTGGAGAAGGAGGGCGCAATCTCCTCCTGTACCAGTCAGATCTGATTTGATGGTACACTTAAAAACAATACAATAAAAATTTAAAAAATTAAAAAATTTAAAAAAATTAGAAGTCTTAAAAAAAAATCTCAAAATGATGAAACATGTCAAGAGTTATGTGCCCCCCTGACCAAAAAATTATCAACTTGGCTAGGTGATGATGCAAATTATGTTAAAAAAATTCCTGTGATGTGAGATGATATGATGTAAGGGTTTTGGGTGAGATGCAAAATCTTTATTCAAGTCACAGCTCTGATGACAGGAGTTCACTGGGGTGTGTACTGCATCCTTTTATCATTTACAAGAGATGAAAGCAGAGAAAAACAAGTAGAGGAGGAACCTATCTTCCACCGAGAAAGAAGAGCTGGGAGTAGGATTTGTCCTTTAGAACCAGGATCCCTACACTCAGAACCTCCTAGACCCAGGAAAAGATGGATGCCATGACACATGGGCCCACTTCAAGAACACTGGGCCCACACACACTGAAAGGAAACAAGGACTTTCCTCTAAAGCCAACAAAGAAAGGAAACATCCCCTCGAACTAGTGCCCTGAACTATGACTTCTAGTCTCCTAAAGTACAAAAAGAGAGCTCTGGTGGCCTAGTGGCAAGAAGCTGCACCACAATCCTGAAGGCATGTAGTTCAAGCCAACAGTCACTCTGTGGGAGAAGGATGGGCAGTCTCCTACTGTGCAATTAACTGCCTCTGAAAACCCACTCGAGGGTCAGCTACACATCAGATCCAACTCTGCAGCAGCACACAACAACAAAGTGCAAAAGAACAAAGTTCAGTTCTGTATGTTAGAAACATTCACATGTGATTCTCTCTGTTAATAGCAGCACTAGATAATTTAGACATCATATATCTAAACATTTCATAGATTACTCATACCCCCAAAAATACCCCTCCCCTGGCCCATATACACATACACGGGAACCTATTATTCTTAGGTACACTGTTTGAGACAAGCTGTCCTAACATGGCTTTAGGTTGTACAAATAAGGTAAAATTTGGTGATTCCATCAATCCATACTTAATCCCTTCCTTAAACAGTTTCAGAATCCCATTGTCTTTTAGGGTTGTTGGAGACATGGCAGGAAGTAATATGACTTAAGGAACAGAGGATGTGTTTGACAAACACCAGACCATCCAAGATATGGGATATTTGTCCCTTTCTCTCTTATCAGTGTATTGGTAAGTGGTGTCTTCAATAAAATTTCAAGTTTTTAAAGAGCTGATAAAATTCACAGCCAGCTCTAAAGGATCTAGTTTCTTTGAGCAAGTAGGTAACAAATTTAAGACCCAGAAGCTAGTTAGAAAGCAAGAGGCTTAGCTCCTCTGGGCCTGGAAGGAACGCTAAGGACCATGCTCATGCTGCATGAGCCTGGGTGCTTTGGGGGTCCACCCACCTTGCGATTGTGACAGAACTCATAGCCTTCAGGTTTGCACTCATGAGAACGAATCAGAAACTGCAGGTTGTATTTCTGTAGCAACTGTTCTGTCACATTAGGCCCGAAGTAGCAGCCGTCTCCTCGCACAGTGTTGGCCTTACAGCCCTCCTGAGCCATTGGATCACTCCACAGAATATCTACAACCTGAAAGAAACCAAGAGGTGGTTTTCTTTCCTAAAAACTAGGTACATTTTGCTGAGTGAGATATCTCAGTCACAAAAGGACAAATACTGCATAGCGCTACTGTTATAAAACAGGTCTGACATGGGGAGTTGGGAGGAGAATAGGATAAAAATGAATTGATAATGACCATGCATTGGAACAGATGAAGGAAAGAACTGTCTAAAATGAATATATGATTAGTCATCATACATATAATAAAAGTCCAGAATAAGTGGTATATCATTGTGAAGATGACTGGGGGAAGGGGGTAAGGTAAGTAATTTTGCAATAAGGAACAAATATTTTTTTAAAAAAACAAACAAACACATGAACTGGGGAGACGGACTAAAGTGTGCAACAATAATGAATGAAAATCTAACTTCTCTGCATGTTTGTTAAAATTACAATGAAAATAAAATGAAAAACAGAAACGACAAAACTAGGCAAATAATTCATTTGGAGTCATTATTAGGAGAAATAGAAGAAAATATTACTTAGATAAAACTAACAGAATATACTTCCCTGCCATCAGCATCCATCATACACTTATTTCTCTCTTTTTTCTTTTTTTTCATTTTTATTGGTGGGGTTTTTTTCAGACCAGATTCTTCCAATTTCCCTCACTCTCCTCATCAAACTGTACAGCCCCATGATTAATCCACCCCCACTATGCACATCTTCATCCGTCTCCTTCCATCCTCCCAACCCCCCCTTGGATCCTCTTACTCATTCTACAATATTGGTTTTATACAATATTTATCCTTGTGGGACTGAGTCAGTTCACTCAGCATATGCTCTCCATAAGCTAGCTGCGTACTATGTAATATTCCTTTGTGTGAATGTACCATAATTTCTCAATCCATTTGATTGTGGTTGGACATCTGGGCTGCTTCCATGTTCTGGCGATGGTGAATAACCCTGCTATGAACATTGGTGTACAAGTCTCCATTTGTGCCTCAGTTCTCATTTTCCCAGGGTATATTCCAAGCAGTAGAATAGCTGGGTCATATCGAATTTCTATGTTTAGCTTTTTTTAGGAAGCGCCTAACTGCTTCCAGATTGATTATCCAGCATACATTTAAATGTTGGACCCTTGAGGTTCCAGAATTTTATTATTCACTAAATATATATATATATATATATATATATAATGCATTAAGTGTTGGACTCTTAACTGAACTGTCGGTCACTTTTATGTGAAAGATCAATAAGTAAAACAGATAAAAAGGAGCTGCACTTGACCATATTCTAGACTACTCAGTGGTTGCCCCCACGAAGCCAGCAGTCCTGTGGAATAACCCAAGTCTCTCAGGCAGCATTCACGAGACCCAAGATGTGGTCCTGGAAGTACAATAATCAGATGTTTGATTTCTTAAAATAATTTGACAACTTAAGGATTTTCTAGAAGAGCTGGGAAATTTTAGCTATTTAGATACTACTTTATCATTAGAATAAAATGTAAAAAGACCCCACAGTTGCCATTGAGTTGAGTATGACTTGTGGTGATCCATGTGCAAAATGGGTTTTCAAGGCTTTGTCCTTTTGGAAGCAGATCCCCAGGGCTTTCTTCTGACGTGCCTCTGACCGACTTTAAAACAGCAATCTTTTGGTTAGTGATGAAGTGCTTAAGCACCGTGTCATCCAGGGACTCCTACCCTATGGTTATTACTCAGGAAAATGGTAACTGCTTCTTAAACAACTCACAACAAATAACTGGATGCATTTCAGCTGCTGACGCCTGACAAAGTTTTTTTGTAAGAACAAAACCAAACAAACTGCCTTTGATTTGTCTAAAATCCAGACTGATAAATAGAATGTAACCTAAACTCACCTTTGGCTTCCCTTCAGTTTCCTGCCCATGTCAGCTGCAACTGCTCCCCTCTCTCACCACCTTCCACCCAGTCAGTTGCCATATTATGCCCTTTTTCACTGTTATATAACCTTTTCATTCTTCCTTGTTCTTTGAACCATAGGAATATTGGCTGAACTGTATCAGGCTGTTTTTGTAGGCCAAAAATAGTTGCCTATGGAAAATTCATGTAGTTCACACTTACCATCACTGCCATCTGTCACAAGGATTACTACTTGTCTTTTAAGGGATATTTAAGCTACAATGAAGGACCACTTCTAATGAAATGCCATTTCCAAACGGATGCCAGAGTCTTCTATTATGGAAAACACTGTTGGTGCCTACTCAGCATCACTTCTCTTACTTCCCTGCTCACAGAATTCTGACTCTGGGTTTTTTTGGTTTTCTTTTTATTTTTTGTTTAATTTTTTATTATTATTAATGTCAATGAAAATTTACAGAGACTTTGGATTTCCATTCATTCATTGTTGCACTTTTCTCCCTGCCCACCCCTCCCCCCTTCAGTACCCTCTTCTCTTTGAAAAGTAAAAGAAAAGTTCTTTCATTGTTTTATAATCCCTCCCCCCAGGTCCACTCCACTATGCAGCCTTTGCTCAGGACTCCTGTCATGACAATAATACCTAATCATATTCCTCCTAAACAGTCTTCTCCCTCATCTGTCTCAATGCAGTATACATTATTGAACCCATCTTTCTCAGTCTGCCCCCAACCCCGATGTCAGTCCTGTTTTAAAACAGTGACACCATACAGTATTTGTCCTTTTGTGAAAGATATTTCACTCAGCATAATGTTCTCCAGGCTCACCCATTTTGAATAATATTGCATGAGTTCTTTGTTTTTCAATGCAACATAGTATTCCATTGTGTGAATATACCACAACTTCTCTATCCATTCATTTGTTGATGGGCACTTACATTGTTTCCAACTCCTTGCTATTGTGAACAAAGCCAGGATAAACATGGGTGTGCATATATCTGCTTGGATGTCAGCTATGGTCTCTTCAGGGTATATTCCCAGTAGTGGAATTGCTGGGTTAAATGGTAGCTCTATTTGCAACTTTTTGAGAAAATGCCACACTGCCTTCACAGTGGTTGCATCATTTTACACTCCCACCAACAGTGAATAAGGCTTCCAGTTTCTCTACAACCTCTCCAGCATTTGTTGCTTTCTGTTCTGTTAAATTGTGCTATTTTTACTGGGGTGAGATGACATCTCATAGTTGTTTTGATTTGCATCTCTCTTAGAAATAAGGATTTCAAACATTTCTTTATATGATTGTTGGCCATCTGAATGTCTTCTTTGTTGAAATGTCTGTTCATATCCTTTGCTGTGTCTGTTCATATCCTTTGCCCATTTTTCAACTGGATTATTTACCTTTATCTTGCTGCGGTGCTCAAATATTTTATAAATTCTAGATATAAGTCTCTTATCTGACATGTCATTACCAAATACTTTTTTCCAGTCTGTGGCTTCCCTTTTTAGCCTGTTGGAGAAGTTTTTGGATGTACATAGGGATTTGATTCTTAGGAGGTCCCATTCATCTATTTTTTTCTTCTCCTGGTTGTAGAAGAACTCTGATTCTGTTTGAGGTGATAATATGCCTTGATAAATACTTGCTTTCCCAGACTCCCCGGCAACCAGGGATAGTCACGTGATACACGTGTAGGCCACTAGGAAAAGCTTTTGTTAACGTAATTACAGAGGACAGCAGCTACAGATGTAGCCTTTTTGGCTTTGAACAGAAGCAGTCTTCTTTCTGATTGACAAATGACAGCATGTAAGAGCATTCAGCAAATTGCAGCTTACTTTCTTAGCCCATGATGCTGAGCCACCAAACCAAGTTTTCTCAGGCAACAGACCTCTTCAACCACAGCTTTCTCTGCTTTATAAAACTTTAAAAGGTACAAGCCATTCTAACACCACCAGTTGCCCTGGAGTTAATTTTGCTTCATGATGACCCCATGTGCACCATAGTAGAACTGTTTTCCACGGATTCTTAATGGTGGATTTTTCTGAAGTAGACTACCAGGTGCCTTTTAGTGCCTCTGAGTGGACTCAAACCACTAACATTTGGGTTAGCAGCCAACCACATTAACCACTTGTGCTACCAAAAGACTTTATGGGTCAGTAGGCAAATATTTTCTCTTTCTGGAGCCCCTGGATGGCGCAAAAGTTTAGCTCAGCTGCCAACTGAATGGTTGGAGATTCTAATCTACTCAGAGGCACTACAGAAAAAGCCCTAGAGATCCATTTTAGAAAAATCAACCCTGGAAAACCGTGGGAAGCACGTTCTACTCTGATACATGAGGGGTAACCATGCATCAGAATTAACTCTGCAGTGAGTATGTGCGTGTGAAGTGCAGCGTCTTAATAAACTTATGAGGTATTCTAACCCCTGGGAGAGAGAGACAGCGGAGACCCAAAACATATTCTGTTTTGACCTAAAGGGTATTTGATGTGTATTTCTTGTTTTAATCTTTGGTGGCTCCTCCCATGGGTACCACATTCTTGCAAGTAGCATCGGGCCACGACCCACCTGCTTCCACTCCTCCTGAGTGGGCTCCAGATCCCCAGCATCAGATCCCACGTCAGCCATGAGGAGCAAGGTCTCCCCCTTCTCCTGGATCTCACGGAAGCCTGACTGCTGCTGGCACCTGTCCAGGTCCATGTCCACGGAGTGCCGCACCTGCCGGTTGAACTCTCCCTGGTCCAGAGAAAGGCTGCAGGGGATGCTGGAGGAGCGTCCAGCTTTGGGACTCTTGGGAGACTTAGGGTGTGGGGGCGAACATGGGAGAGAGCGGCTCTGGGGAAGAAACCAGGGGGTCGGCCTCCCTGGAGAGCTTGTCGGGTCGACTTTACTCTTATTCTCCAACTGTTTCTCACTCTTCTTTCTCGTTTTGCATCTCAGAGTGGAAACAATCTAAAAATGCCCAGAAAAGATACAGATGTTGAGATGAAACTGTACTTCCTTGATTGATTTTACCTTTTTGTTGGGATTTGGGTGAAAGTTTACAGTGAAGACTTGGTATCTATTCAGCCATTACAACACATTCAGGACACAGAGAGCAGTCTCACAACAGAACCTCCCCCTTGTTCCCGGTGCTCACTTTTCCATCAGTTTTTTTCCCTCTCCTCTCCCACCTTGTGAGCTTTGTTACGATTGTTCTTGTTAGGTGCTGCCAGGTCAAGAACGACTCACAGCGACCCTCTGAACAACAGAACTGAACCCTGTCCTAGCCTGTGTATGCTCATCGTCTCCGACACATTGGAGCCCATTGCTGCAATCACTGTTCAGTTCATCTCACTGGGGTCCTCCTCTCCTCCACTGGCCCTCCATCTTTCTAAGCTTATTGTCTCTTTCCAAGAAATAGCCTCACCTAGCAACGTGTCCAACATATGAAAGACGAAGCTTTGCCATCTATGTCTCCAAGGAGCACTCTGGCTGCACTTTCTCCAAGACATGTCTGTTTTTCTTTTGGCAGCCAATGGGATACTTATCCCAAGGCAAATGCTGCCTTTTTGAACTCCTAAACTTGACTGTTCTAAGGATACACTTCCTTTTTTGAGTACCACTCTGGGATTCATTTGGTCAGTGTTCACTGGTTCATCAGATAAGCATTGGTGTGTTCCTGATCCATTGTAAAATAAGTTCAGAAACTGAAAGTAAGTCTTCAGAAACTCTGAAGGGTAATTGTTGGTTTCTCAGTAGAGCAAGGAATTTGTGTTTGACTACTAGAAGAATTGATGTCTTTGATTTGTGGTGTTGGAATAGAGTCTTGAACATACACACCATGGACCTGCCAAGAAAACAAATAGGTCTGTCTTGGAGAGGGTGAAACCAAGGATTTTGAAGCTCCATTTCATATACTTTGGGCATGTGACAAGGAGGAACCGATCATGCTCAGAAGGGTGGAGGGACAATGCAGCTGAAGAAGACCCTGGATAAGATGGATTGATACAGTGACAAGGGCAATGGGTGTTGGTGTATCGAAGTCAATGAGACTGGCTCAGGACAGAGCAGAGTTCAGAGCTGCTGTACATAGGGTCACTAAGAGTCGCAGGCGACTGGATGGCACATAACAGCAACCACCACCACAACAACTAATGTAAAAGCTGGTGATTCAAACCAATCTGGTGTTGCTACAGAAGAATGATCTGGTGATCTGTTTCTCTTAAGATTATAGTGAGAAGAGAAAAAAAGAAGAAAGAACAAACAAACTCCATGGTGCAGTTGTACTCTGTAATACACAGAGCCAACACAAATAGAAATCTACTCAACAGCAAACAGGGAACTAAAATATTTCTCTTGACCAAGGAGACTGATTATAGTACTTCTCTCTGTCTGGGAGTTGTCATGTCATAGTACTGGAGTTGGGCTGTGAATACACAGAGAACAGGCTGGAAGAATTTTGACAATAAAGAAAGGGGGCCAGGCCACAGAGCATAGTGGCAGCATCAAGAGTCAAGGGAACAACCATTCCCAGCGTGGCTGATTACTGCAGAGTGAGGGACACAGTCTTTGAAAGAATGCCAGTGATGAAGACCTTGCTCATAAAGGGGGCACTGGGCAATTTCAGAGTCAAAAAACATGAATTTTCTGCAATTAGATGATTTTATTCTGATGTGAGAAAGCTGGCTTAGGGCAGGAACAAAGGGTAAGCAGAAAATGTCACCCAAACCTGAATGATGTTTGAAGAGGAATCAACACAAAATAAAAGTATTGGAATAAAGGCTATTTTCTAACGAGGGCTAATTATCTCCCAGGCTGTTCTACCCAGAACATAGAGGTTGAAAGATGAAGAAATTGACTCTCAACTGACTCATAACCACCACCTTCTCTATTGCCAGCTCCTGAGAGGAGCCAGACTACCAATCACCCTTTTCTGCTCTCAGGAATTTTTTGTTTGTTTGTTTTGAAAACATTGTTATCTGCCACAGGAGGCATCCCTAACTTTGATAGTTATGAAGAATATAAAACCCCACGGCTAGTTAGTCCATTCAAACTCACAGTGAATACTTGTAGTTAGGTAGGTGTCTTCGAGTTGGGTACAACCCATAGCGACCCAATGAACAACAGATCTGATCCCTTCCTGTCCTGTGCTTTCTCACACTTCCTACCACATGAGAGTCTGCTGTGCAGTCACCATGTCAGTTCATCTGGTCGAGGGCCTTCTTCTCCTTTGCTGACCCTCTACCATAGTGAATAGTAGCTAGTATTTGCTGAAGACTTTTCAAATATCAAGAAGCCTTATTATTTGGCTTAGTAACTTGTTGGACTGTTCACGAAAAGGTCAGTGGTTCAAGGCGCTCTGCAGGAGCAGGAAGAATTTAGAGCTCTAGGAACCCCATGGAAGGTCTTTATGAGTGGGAATCCGCTCAATGGTTTGGGTTTTTTTCCTTTTCAAGGCCCTTTACATGAATTGATCAAGCCTCACTACACTGGGCATCACGTTGAGTTTTGCATGTTTTATCCTTCAGTCAATACCTTATGTCTGTCTAATTTAGCTAGAAGCTCCAGGTCTGTCTTGTCTGACACACCACCATGAAGAATCAAGACTTTCTCATCAATCAGAGTGGCTAATGGAAGCCAAGAGAAAACATCCTGCAGTGTTTTTAGTATTTTCGTGCCATGTATCTGGAGAAAAAAATATTGACAAGGGATAAGATTTCAAATAATTCACTCAATTTATTTGAGATAAGAGGAATTATTGCTTTGAAACACAGTGTACCTGATATTTAGACATTACTTCTTTGGTGAAGCCATACCTAGATTCAGAAACAAAAATAAATATTAAAATAAATATAGTGACAACAGTTATGGAATGTTCATATTTTGCTTTAAAAATGCATGTATGTATATATGTAAACACATAGGAAAAAGACTGAAGAGACCAGAAATCCACTACCATCAAATCAGTTTCAATTCATAGCAATCCTCCATTGTGTTTCGGAGGCTGTAAATATAGGAGGAAACCGTTCATCACTCTCCCATGGAGTAGTGGACGGATTTGAACTGCTGACCTTTTGGTTAGCAGCCCAATATGCACTATGCCAGCAATGATGTCTTAAATTATCTCTTGGTAGAGATATTTGGAAATAACAGAATTTTTTCTTTCACTTGCTTATGTTTCCTACTTATTCTGCAGTTAATGCCCATTATTAATATAATGAAGGTTATAGATATGCAGACAAATACTTTTAAATTGTTTTATTGGACTAGTAGGATAAAGTCTAAAATCCCTTCAAACCTTTTTCTTGAATGTTGTTATATCTGTATCCTCCTTAAAAAATTAAGTCTTCTTTTAAAAGATATTTAAGAAATAAGCTGTGGAAAAGTAAATCTTATAATTACTACAAGCAAATATAAAAAAGCAAGGATGTTTTTGTCTACCTTAAGTTCACCATGTGGTCCTCATGGTTTCCTCGATTGAGATGGAATTCTTTTGGGTAAACCAGCATGAAGGCAAAGAGAACCATCAGGATCTCTATTGAATCATTGCCTCGATCCACAAAGTCCCCGTTGAACACATAGGCCCGCTCTGGCGATGGAAGGCCATTCTTCCCATTAAAGAAAGAAGTCATAGAGGTCCAATATGGAACAAGAAATAAGTTTAAAATCAAGTTGCATTGGATAGTCACATCATGTCTAACACCAATTCTGTGTTTTCTGGGGTCTCCTCCAAAAGTGAAATGTCAATAAAAGCTAGAAATATATCCTACCAGCCTTCTATTTCCTTTCCAGCCAGGCTAAGGTTACCAGCAGAATTCTACAATATGATGTGGAGCAAAGAGCATTGAAGGTGTTCTCCCAAAGCCAATTTTAAGGTCTGGACACAGTATCTTTAACTAATAATAGTAACAACAACTGCCACAGATTTAAACACACAATTAAAAAGAAGAATGCCTTGGTAAATATATTGGAAAGTATATTAGAAAATAATATTTCCATTGCCATCATTTCAATTCCAACTCACAACAGAGTAGGACTTCCCCATTGGTTTCTAAGGCTGTAATCATTATGATAGAAGGCTGATACCTCTTTCTCTTCTGGAACAGGCAGATTTGAATCTCAGACCTCTCTGTTAACAGGCAAGTGCTTAACCACTATGCCACTATTGTTGTTGTTGGGTACCATTGAGCATTGACTGAGTACAATTCTTAGCAACCTATGAACAAAAGACCTGAATCCTGCCCTATCCTGTGCCATTGTCTTCATCTCTGACACACTTGAGACAATTGCTGCAGTCACTATGTCACCTCACCTCATTGGAGTTCTCTCTCTCATTCACTAACCCTCCATCTTTACAAACATGATGTCATGCTATGGAACCCCTAAGGCTCCTTAAAATAATGTTGTTGTTGTTGTTGTTGTTGTTGTTGTTGTTGTTGTTAAGTGCCATCAAATCATAGGCGACTCATAGTGACCCTATGATTAAAAGTCCTCAGCACTTGTGTGACTTGCATCCTTTCTCCAGGTTCATAGGGTTTCTGGAGGCAGGCTATTATGGAAGTGGATGTCACTCCTTATTCCAAGCTTATTTTAATCGGGGAGCACCACCAAAAACTGTCTGCCATGGATAACCATTGACACGTTTGACACATCAGTGTCACAGTGTTCAGCTTCACAACAACCACAAGTTATCGCTGTACAGCAAGTGGACAAACCAGGGCTATACCACCTAGAAGAATGTTTGAACAAAAACAATGAAAAACGGGCCCAAAACCAAATATGTTCATTTCCATCAAGTTGTTTCCAAGTCATAACAACCTTCTAGAAGAGAGTAGAACTAACTTGCAAAGACCTAAATCTTTATTGGCCAGCAGTAAGAAGCTGCACTGCAATTTCAAAGGGATGTGGTTCGAATCCACCAGCTGTTCCACTGGTGAACAATCGTCAGTCTCTTCTCATGCAATGTCCTGCTCCTGAAAACTTGCTGGACAGGTTGATTTTGAATCAATGACACACAACAACTCCCAAAAACAAGCTGGTAAATTTTGTTTAGTAGTCAAATACTTTAACAATTGTGCCACTGGATTCTTTAATGTAATATTACAAAAACAAGATATTATCATTACATTCATATGCTTTTCTACAACCTCTACAACATTTTACAACTAAAAATAGATGTGAGAATAACTTTTAGGTTGTGTGGATAATAATCCTCTTATGTATTTGGGGAAAGAAAATTGGCTGCCGAGTAATGGTGTCTTCTATTCATTGATCTAAGATTATATATATATATATTGCTGACTTCTATACTATGCATATGCTATACTGGTGGTAATAATATCCTTTAGATCCAAGCAATACTTAAGCATTTATGTAATAAGCATATTATTTAAACTTCTAAATCAAACTCCAAAGCAAAAAAGGAGTTAAACATTCATACCTTATGGAATATAAATATTAAGTCATCCAACTGGCCATGCAAATCTCCTAAAAAAGACAAAACAAAAGTATCAGTGCTGAGTAGCTTTTCTCATTGTTTTTAAAGTTGTTGCTGTTAGTTGCTATCAAGTGGACTACAGCTCATAGTAAGTCTCTCAGCAACAGACCTGACCCTTGCTCTGTCCTGTACCATCCTCATCATCCAAAAACTGTTCACACCCATTGTCACACATACTATATCAATCCATCTCATTGAGGGTCTGATTCTGTCTTTCCAGTATGGTCTCTTTTTCCAAGATGTGGCTCCTCTTTTAAAAAAAAATTATTTTATTTTTATTATTTTGTGTGTGTACCATCAAATCAGAACTGACTGGTACAGGAGGAGATTGTCCCTCCTTCTCCAGCAGGGCATCTGGTGGATTCAAACCGCATACTTCTAGGATTGCAGTGCATCTTCTTGCCACTAGGCCACCAGAGCTCACCGATATTGCCCCTCTTAACAACATTCTTGAAGTTTCACCACCCTTGCCTACAAAGAGCACCCTGGTTGCACTTCCTCCAGGAAAGAAGTGTACATTCTTTTGGCAGTCTCTGGTATGTTCACTATTCTCCTCCAACACCACTATTCAAAGACATCAATTCTTCTTCTGTCATCCTTGTTCACTGTCATTTTCAGATGCACAAGAAGCAGCTCAAAAATATTATGATGTAAATAGAGCAAGGGCTGTGCTTGGATGACCATATCTGACCTTTACCAACTTCCCAAAGGGGAACTGTCCCCAGCAACAGCATCAACAACACAGAACCAATTTCTATGAGGTTAAACACTGACCTTTTCCAACTTCCCAAAGGGAAACTGGCCCAACAACAGCATCAACAACACAAAACCAATTTCCATGAGGTCAAACATGTCACCCACACTCCCATACTTCTTTCTACTTATACAACACCAATCTTACTGCTTTACTAAGTCTGAAATCTGATGCAGTTGCCTACAGAACACACAAAACCATACTGGAGAAGTTAAAACGTTATAATCCAGGTTAATAGCAGAATACAGTCAGGACAGCTTCTGAAATGTGCTAGTAGGCATCTCAGCCTTGAACTTTGTGGCTTTAGGCCAGTGTTAAAAAATTCTCATCAATCTTGACAATATTTGCTCTCTTCTCTCCCCACAGTCCTCCAATAACCTTGGGGAAAAGTAAGCTCTGGTTCAATGATGCATCAGCCGCAAAGTCCACTCCGTTTCATGTCAGGTCTCTGGTTCTCCACTTTGGTTGCCATAGCTATTGCTCCCGTGGGTCCCAGTCTGGCTCGCACAAGAGTCTCTGGTCTCGAAGGACATATTACAATCTCTAGCTTCTTCTTTACTGCCAGTGAGGCCTCTTCTTTTCTGCTGTTGGATCTGCTCAACTCAGTGGCAAGACTAGCCAATCACTTTATGAATTGGTAAGACTAGCCATTCCCCTTGTGAACTAGTGAGATTAGCCAATCCCCTTGTGGATAGGGGAATATTCGCATATTCCCACACATTCACCACATGGCAAAATTCAAATTCAATGGCTAAGAAAGCCATTTTGAACACTAAGCCTTTAATATTACACAGAGTTTGGTTTAAGTGCACCTTAAAATTAATCTTTGCTCTTTGATACTTTAAAGAGGTCCTTTACAGCAGATTGTCCCAATGCAATATATCTTTTTTTTAAATTTTTTTTATTTTATTAAATTTTATTAGTTTTAATGAACATTTACAGGGATTTTGGGTTTTCATTCCTTCATTGCCGCACCATTCTCTCCACCCTCCTCCCCAGTTTGTTCTTCTTCCCCGCCATCCGAATGTCTGTTTTAATTGTCCAATTGCCACAGTGCTTGTCAAAGTCAGTTCTGATTAATCTCCTTTGTCAGTGTGTCCTTTGCCATTCCCTATCACTCCTCCCTGAGAGAGACTTCACCCTGATTCATAAGGAAAAGGGAATGACGTATTCTCTTAGCTACTTCCTGCTGAAAAGGGACGCTGTGGGTTTCAGGGTGAAGATCTTCTCTCACTACTCTAAAGGGCCCCTTTGGCAGTAGGAAACACATAGACTATTATGGAGATTGATTTTGGAATTTAGATGCACTGTTATTAATTGTGCTTAGCCGTACATGTTCATATCCCTGAAGATGTATCATGGGGGGGTTGCAACCTAGAAGACACAAATGTAACTAACAAGTTATAAGTACATGAGTCAAAAATTATGGAAAAGTAAAAGAAAAGATTCTTTCATTGTTTTACAAATCCTCCCCCAGGTCCCCTCCACCGTGTAGCCCTCGCTCTAGACTCCTGTGATGACAGAAATACCTAGTCACATATCTCTTTTACACAGTTTTTTCCCTCCTCTGTCTCAGTGCAGTATACATTATGGAACACATCTTATTCAATCTCTCCCCAACCCTGAGGTTAGTCCCATTCTACAACAGTGGCATCATGTAATATTTGTCCTTTTGTGACTGGGATATTTCACTCAGCATAATGTTCTCCAGAGTCAACCATTTTGAATAATATTGCATGAGTTCCTTGTTTTTTAATGCAGCATAGTATTCAATTGTGCAAATATACCACAGCTTCTCTAGCCATTCATTTGTTGATGGGCACTTAGTTTGTTTCCAACTCCTTGCTATTGTGAACAAAGCTGCAATAAACATGGGAGTGCATATATCTGCTTGGATGTCAGCTATGGTCTCTTCAGGGTATATTCCCAGTAGTGGAATTGCTGGGTCAAATGGTATCTCTATTTGCAACTTTTTGAGAAAGCGCCATACTGCTTTCCACAGGGGTTGCACCATTTTACACTCCCACCAACAGTGAATCAGGGTTCCAGTTTCTCCACAACCTCGCCAGCATTTGTTGCTTGCTGTTCTGTTAAATTTTGCTATTTTGACGGGGGTGAAATGATATCTCATAGTTGTTTTAATTTGCATCTCTCTCAGGGCTAGGGATTTTGAGCACTTCTTCATGTGCTTGTTAGCCATCTGAATGTCGTCTTCGGTGAAGTGCCTGTTCATATCCTGTGCCCATTTTTCTATTGGATTATTTACCTTTATCTTGTTGTGGTGCTCAAGTATTTCATAAATTCTGGATATAAGCCCCTTATCTGATATGTTATTACCGAATATCTTTTGATTTCTTGACTACAAATTGGCAGTCAAGATATTCTGGTTTTCATATTTACTATTAAAAGGGAAATGTACTGAAAAGTAAGGCAATGTTAATAAACTTAGTAGTTACTCATTTTTCATAAGTAAAATAGAAACTATTCATTTCTCCTGTGGCTTCCACAGTAAATTTTTTAGAAAGAATAATGTTGTTGTTAGGTGCCATCAAGTCAAGTACATCTCATAGTGACCCTATGAACAACAGATCTGAAGCTTGCCCTCCTACCCTATCTTGTGCCATCCTCATCATTCCAACACACTTGAGCTCATTGCTGTAGACACTCTACTCAAGGAAGCACAATATTTTCTCCAGGAGTACCATAAACAGTAAATGGTTGATATTTTCACTGAAGGAAAGATGGGACAAAATAATGTAGGGTTGCAAAACTTGACGAGAACTAGAGAGATTTTGCCCCATTTGAAAGAACAAAGAGATCTTGAATGGTTTAAAATCAAGGACAGTGTATGTCATGGTTGTATCTTTCATACTTATACAATCTGTATGTTGAGCAAATAATCTGAAAACATTTACTACATGAAGAACACACCTTAGGATTGGTGGAAAGCTCACTGACAAACTGCAGTATGCTGTTGATGCAATCTTCTTGCTTAACATGAAGAGGACTTGAAGCATTTACTGAAGAAAATCAAAGACTACAGCCTTCAATATGATTATATTTCAACATAAAGTGGAGGGAGGTCCTCATACTGGACTGGGCACCAATATCATGATGAAAGGAGAAAACACTGAAGTTGTCAAGGATTTCATTTCACTTGAATCTGCAAATCAGTCCCCAAGGAAGCAGCAGTCAAGAAATCAAACAATGATTTGCATTGGACAAATTTGCTGCAAGCAACTTCTGAAAACATTAAATTATTAAACATTATTCACTTTAATAAAGTAAGGTATACCTGACTCAAGTTACAGCATTTTCAGTCACCTCGTACTGTTGTTGTCATTGTGACTCATAGCAACCCTGTGTACCTTAGCTTTAAAAGCTGCCCTATCCTGTGTCAATCGCATTGTATCTGACAGACCTAATCCCATTGTTCCAGTCACTGAGTTAATCCATCTCATCCTACATCTTCCCCTCTTTTGCTGTTTTACCACCCTTCCAAACATGATATCCCTCTCCAAGGACTGGTTCCTCCTGGCCACATGCCCAAAGTATATGAGACAAAGCCTCAAAATCCTTGCCTCCGTGGAATAAATTGGTTTCACCCTCTGCAGGATAGATCTGTTTCTTCTCCTGGCAGTCCACGGTATGTTCAACACTCTTCTCTAGCACTACAACTCAAAGGAATTGATCCTTTTTCTATTATCCTTAGTAATTGACCAGCTCTCAGATGCATAGCAAGTAACTGTGAATACCATGGCCTGTATCAGGCACACTTTAGTCTCCAGACTGACATTGTTGCTCTTCAGTACTCTAGAGAGGGTCCTTGACAGTAGATTTTCCCAATGCATTTAATTTCTTGACTGCTGGTGCCTAGAGTGTTGATTGTGGAACCAAGTAAGCTGAAGTTATCAACAATCTCAATCTCTTCTCCACCCATCATGAAGCTGCCAATAGGTCCAGTAGTAAGAATCTTTGTTTTCTTGATGTTAAGCTTCAAACCATTTTGAAGACTACAGCCCTTGACTTTCTGCAGCAATGTCTCATGTACTCTTCAGTTTCAACAAGCAAGGTTGTGTAATCTGCATAATGGAGGCTGTTGATGAATCTTCCTCCAATCATGATGCCACATTCCTCCTCATAAAGTTCAGCTTCCCAAATGATCTGTTCTGCATATAGATTAAAGAGGTAAGGATGCATCCCTGATACACACCTTTCCTGATCCTGAACTATACAGTGCTTCCTGGTCCAAGACCAGGTTTTGCATTAAAACAATTAAGTGTTCTGGGATTCCCATTCTTCTAAAGGTTGGCCACAATTTGTTGTGATCTACAGAGTTAAATGCCTTTGCACAGTCACTGACAAAATGCAAACAAAAATTGAACAATGAATAAGGAAGAGCAATAAAGAATTGATATCTTTGAATTTTGGGATTGATGAAAAATATCAAATATATCCTGGACTGTTAGAAGAGTAAACTAATCTGTTTTTTAAAAAGTACAAATAGGATGGTCTTCAAAAGCTAGGATGGTGAAATTGGGCATGTTATTAGAAGGGATCAAGTCCTAGAAAAGAACATTATACTCAATAAAACAGGTTTAAAAGGAGGAAGCCTCATATTAAGATGGGTTGACATAGTAGGTACACAGCGATGACTGTGAGGGTCACACAGACTGAGCAGTGTTCCATTCTGCTAGAAACCAAGTTGCTATGAGTTGGAATTGACTCAAGCTAATACCATCTGGAATCAGATATTTCCATGCAAGAATGTGGTCCAGTATTGCCAGAATCCCAAGAGGAGTTAGAAGTCTGAATTTTATTATTAAATTCTCTCATTTTCAAATGTTGGAAAATAATTTTAAGAATATAGTAGAAATTAAAAATGTTAAGAATATATATGACTGCAGAACATATCTGTAGTTGATGTGGAGTCCCTGCGTAGAACAAACAGTTAACGTTTAGACAACTAACCACAGAGTGGAAGGTTTGAATGCACCCTCATTGCCTCTGAAGAACAACCAGATGATGCACTTCCAAAAACTCAGCCACAGAAGACCACAGGGGACAGAGTTCTGACACATAGAGAGCGCCATAGGCTGGAGGAGACACTCTAGCAATTGTTTTTTTCTGGGTTTTCCCCTTTTCTTTTTTTAAAAATGCAGCCCTAGAAGAGCCTGTTTGCAATCCCTAGTACACAGCAATCTCTCTACCCTTAACATCAGTCTACAGTGGATGTTAAAATAGCACTCAAAACACAGAGTGACAGAGATTTGGTTGAGACAAGGTTGGCATAAATCTGCATTTGTAAAAAACAAACAATCAAAAATTATAAAATTAAGTACAAACCCCCAAAACATGGCCTGGATTTAAATTTTCTTGATTTCTTATCTCGCTCCTCTCTGACCACTGTCAGTGTTTTCTTGTTTATGTCCAACACACACAGCCGCTTCTGGCCGGCCCTTACCACACACTGTGATCTCCTCGCTGTAACAGGTCGATACGCGGTTGATGTTTGGCAGCTGTATGAGGTGCTTCCTGGTTTCATGTAAGAGATTCAGGACATAGCGTGCATGGAGCTGCTACTAGGAAGAAAAGTGGGGAGAGAAGAAGGCAACACTGTATTCATGAGGAAAGTTGGGCCTCATCCCAACTTAAGGATCCCCAAGAGCCCCAAAGTAATCCGGTAGTTAATTGTACATGTAGGAAAATAAAGTGGAAAATGTTTTGTTATCTATATATTTACCACCATAAAATAATACATGGATGGATAGGTAGATTGACAGATAAAATAATGCAGAAACACTTTTTAAGAAACTGTGACTTATTAACTTCCCTTGGGGACCCAATTCACTAATCCTCCTTTATTACCATCTTCTCACCTTCTTTTAGCTTTTCAACCTCCCTGTTAGTTCTTCCAAGGACTAAATTAACTCCCTGTTTCCTGTCCACTCTACAAATCTGCTTTGCTTTATCTTGGGATAAACACACACTCATGTCAGTGAAATTCAAATTAAGGCCAAGGATGTTGATGTTGTGGAGTGATCTTGACTTTACTGGAAACATCATCAGAGTTCTTCCGGTATATGAGGTATTTCCTGTGGTTAATTATCTTCTTCATGTGATTAGGGTTGGGGGAATACTGGAGAGCAGGGGCATGTCTCTGGCATACAGCCAGATTCTGACTGCTTCTCACCAGGTCTGCCTGTCCTACCAAGGTTTTAATCCATCATCATTTCTCCCCTGGATTACTGCAGCAGTCTCTTGACTGACCCTTGCCTTATACTTTTAATCAGTAGCCAGAATTCTTTTAAAAATCAAGCTAGATTATAGTATCTTGTGCTCAAAGTCCAATATCTTTTCATCTCTTCTAGAAAAATGAGCCCACTTGCACCTTCTTCACATCTCTGTTTCTGTCTCCTTCTAAGCTCTCCCAGCTTCCTCCTCTCCGGCTCTATTGGTCCTCCTGGTGTTCCTTGCCAAGTTCTGCCTCAGGGCCTCTGTTCGTGCCCCTCTGCCTGGATGACTCCCTCAGAGCCCCACAAGACCCATTCCTCAACATTGAGCCATAACTCAGCAAGGACTCTCTCAGGGGTGCCTTCCCAGATAATTCTTTATAAAACCATCATCTCCTTCACTCAGAACGTCATTTATTCTTTTCCATAGCTCTTGTTGCTTTCCAATATAGTACACCTGAACAGATCTGAACCCTGTCCTATCCTGTCCCATCTGCACACCTCCTCATACACTAGAGCCCATTGCTGTTATCACCGTGTCAATCCAACTGGTTGAGAGTCTTCCTCTCCTTTGCTGACCTCCACCCTTCCCAGCATCATGTCCCTCTCCAGGGAATAGATCCTGCTAGCAATATTCCCAAAGTGTGTAAGGTGAAGCTTCATCATCTTTGCCTCCAAAGAGCACTCTGGCTGTAACCTTTCCAAGACATATTTGTTTGTTTGCCTGGCCATCCACGGGATGTTCAGTGCTCTACTCCAACACCACAGCTCAAAGGCATCAATTCTTCTTCTGCCATCCTTATTCATCGTCCGGCTCTCAGATGCATAGCAAGCAATCGGAAAGACCATGGCCTGAATAGTTCTCAAACTAACATCATTATTCCTCAGTAATTTGGAGAGGTTCCTAACTGCAGACTTTTCCAGTACATCTAAGTCCAACAGTTTTTAATCTCTTCCAGAAAAATGAGCCCACTTGTACCTCCCTCACATCTCTGCCTCCGTCTTCTTCTACACTCCCTCAGCCTCCTCCTCTCCAGGTCTACTGGTCCTCGTGGTATTTCTTGCCAAGATCAGCCTCAGGGCCTCTGTTCAAACCTGAACAGGGTTCAGATCTGTTGTTAATAGAGTCGCTATGGGTCACACTCAACTCAAGGGCACCTAACAACAACAGCAACTATATAGTGCATAGTTTCCCTATTTGTTTCAATTTGTAGTTCTCATCTGTCTTTCTGCGAGAATGTCAGGGTCATCAGGCAGAGTTTGTGTTTGTTTAGTTCACTTCTGGGTCCCTAGTGCCCTGCACATAACAGTGCTCAGTACTATCTGTGAGATGAATGAATAGCCAGAGAAGATTAGGAGCGGTTTTCCATTAATAAAACCTAGCTGACTGGCCATCAAGTCCTAGCTGAGTAGAAAGGAGGTGGGATTCCTCCAGTGCACACATGGCACAAGCAACTTCAGTCTGGAGCTGCTGCTGCTGTTTGGTTTGGTGCCTTTCAACACGGTACATGGAATTGGTGATGGCCTAGATTCCCCAGGTTCCCCGGGTGAGCTTACTTGTTTCAGTCTGAAAGCTTCCACCAAGGCAGTGGCGTGGTCTGGAAGGAGTGGGAAGGAGAGACGTGGCCCTCGGTAGGAGTCCGGAACCTCTATGGATTTGTAGTCACCGCATTTCTCCATCTCAGGGTCCTTGGGGAATCTCTCTTCAGTGAGCATGCGGTTTAAGAAGTCCCCTGCTCAGGACAGAAAATGCGGGACAGCTTGGGATTCAACTATGCTTTTAAATAGAAAATAAAGATGTGTTCACTGGGCAGAAGCTGAAGAGGCTCCTGAGCTGTGTGGCATTCGCTTTAATACAGGAAAGAAGGGAAAGGGGAAACGGTGACTGAGGACTGACAAGGGGAAAACATGCTTTGATGCCGATAAAAACATTAGCTGTACCTATTCTGATTCTTGTTTGAAAGATTGATATTTGTCAGACTTAGAAAGTACAGAAATTTGCAGGCTTAGGTCTGTAAAAGGAGGCTCTGGTGGCCTAGTTGTTAAAGAGTTGTGCTTCCAGCCCAAAGCTGGCAGTTCAACGCTACCACTTGATCCACTGGAGAAAGATGGACAATCTTCTCCTCTGGGATTTACACCTTCTGAAAACCCACTGGAGGATCAGTTATAAGCTTGGTTCAACTTGCCTGCGATGAGTGAGTGAGTAAGTGAGGTCAATAAACAGAAGAAAGGGAGAAGCTAAGGTGGGGAGGGGGGAATATCCATTGGCATTTATAATGTGCATAGTAAATGTCCTTTGGGCAACTTTGTCACCCTCTGCATCTCTGGCCTGCAGGCTGTTCCCTGGAGTCCCAGAAGGCTAGGCACAGGAGGCCAGAAGTGCTGTAAAGTTATCACTCCTGTCCCCACCCCCAGCAGCCCTCAACCAAAGACTCTCAAGACGTAAGTTAGAAAGATTCTTGTTCCCTTGGCCTTCTGGTCAACTAATTAAGTGATTTGCATTATTTCTCAGTCACACTGCTTAGCTTGCTAAGCAGGCTTAGTAGCTGCTGTGAATTATGTCCCACTGCCATCACCTCAAACCCAAAAAAGATATGTGGAAGTCTTGACTCCCGGTACTTAATGTGACCTTGCATGAAAATAAATGTCTTTGTAGACACCATCAGACAATATGAGGTCATATGCAGCAGTAGTTGCTGATAGGTGGTGGAGAGTCGATTCTGAGTCACAGTGACCACATCAATAGAGTAGAATTGCCTCGTAGGGTCTTCTAGGCTCTATTCTTTATAGGAGTAGATCATCGGGTCTGTATCGTGAGGAGCCATTCGGTGAGTTTGCACTACCAACCTTTTGGTTAGCAGCCTAGTATTTACTGTGAGGTCACTAGGGCTCCATCTACTAAAGTAGGTTGGGTCGAATCTTAGAGGTGTTCTTTTAAAAGATAGGAAGAGACACAGAAACTCACTTCCCTCAAGTTACACGGTGACCCTATGTTAGCAGCCCAAGGTATAATGTGCTACACATTAGAGAAGGAGGAGCATTTCCTCTTTGAAAATATGTTATTATTTAAATGCAGTGTTCACTATTTAAAAGAAATACATGATTAGGTATTATTTGGAGGACAACAGTCCAGAATAAGAGGTGCATAGTAAAGTGGACTGGGGGGCAGGGAGAAGGGAGGAAATTGTGTCCAAATTTTCTGTAAACTTTGTTAAAATATCAATAAAAATTAATAATTTTTTTAAAGGGGGGAAGAAGAGATACTGACAGAAGGAGGACAGCCATGTGAAGATGCAGCTACATACCGAGGAGTGCCTGGGTCTACCAGAAGCAGGGAGAGACAGACAAACATTTCCTCCAAGAAACTTCTGAAGGACCAAAGCCTAGAAGATGTGTTTATTTGGACTTCCAGCCCCCAGAATTGCGATAAAATAGATTTCTGACTTTGTTTGTCATGTAAGTTGTGCCGTTTGGTTATGTATTGCAAGCCCAAAACACGAACATAGTCTAAAACCTGTCCTGTCAGAAGCAGAACGTCACATTTTTTTCCTCTTGGAGCAGCTTGTGGGTTCAAATTATAGTTCTTTCAGTTAACAACTAAGCACGCTTATCCACTGTGCCACCAGGATTACCTTGTCTTTGCTGAATCTCTGTCCGGTGTCCACTCAGTGCTTCCTGCACTCACCAAATATTCAAACTCCTGTATCCAGGTGTGCTTCTGAGAGAATCCAGGGTAACATTCCACTCTGGCATTTATCTGTCAGCCTTCTGGCTCATTCCTTAGCTGTCACTTTCTTGCACCCTGTGCACCCTCCCCCACCTCCCCCAACACCTGTGGAAAATGTACCATTTGGTCAATGATACTTACTCTCATTGTGGCTACTGGGGGTGAAGTGATCCATAAGGTAGCTGAAGAATTCATGGAGCTGAAGAAGAACCCACAAAGACATGGCTTTAGCAATGAGTGAAAAGAGACCCAGGGGTGGCCCAGATCGGTCCCACTGGTCCCCTGACCAGTGGTTGGAAGGCTGAGCTGAAGGCTTCTCAGTCCCCCAGCCCACGGTACCTTGACCTGGTCTTGCTGCCCAGCATACTCTATGGACTGGAAGATGCTCCAGGTGCAACGCCGCCTCATCTCCAGGCGAGCCACGTAGCGCCGGTACCACCTCTGGATCAGAGCGGCTGCCTTGAAGGCTGTGACATGGATGGAGAAGAAAGCCTGTGAGCAGAGCTGCCCTAATGCATTAGGGGAGCAGTGAGGAAAGGGCAAGCTCTTCTCCCACTGCAAGTCCAATGTAAACTTCAAGTGCACATGTGTAGAGACTAAACGGTGGAGGAAAATGATTGTTTCCCACAGTGTTTTTTTCCTCCTGATCACTGAGCCCCCTAGTCTCACCTACATACAACCTCACTGGAGACTTACTAGAATTCCTCCTTGTTGAAGAAAGTATGTATGTGAGTAGAGATGGAAGAGCTGGACTGCCAGGAATCTGGGGATGTAAACTAGAGAAATTGTAAAATACAGCATAGTTGAAGAAATGGAGCATGGCAGGGGATGGGAGATTTTGTGATATGTGACCATGAACTAGGTGCCAGGAGATCTGGGTTTTAGACCTGACTAGCTAGCAATGTGGCCTCAGACAAATCACCTTGTTTAGCCTCAATGTCTTCATTTGGAAAGGAGGCTGGATTAGATGATAACTGGAGAAAACTAGCAATACACAAATAGATAAATGAGTATGTACTATAAAGTCAGATGGAGCTGGGTCTTTTCTGGATGCTGTTCTTATTATTTCCCAATTGTCTGACTTCCCAGTGGCCTTTAAATCTTCCCTATGATGCTGTTACATTGTTAGGTGCCATTGAGTCAGTTCCAACTCATAACAACCCAGTGTGCAACAGAAGGAAGCTTTGCTTGGTTTTGTGCCATCTTCACAGCAGTAGGTACATTTGGGCCCACAGTTGCAGTCACTGTGTCAATCCATCTCATTAGATTAGGTAATCCTCCTTCTCACTGACCATCTGCTCTCCTAAGCATGGTTTTCTTCTCTCGGAGGCCGGCCCCCCCTCATCACATGTTCCAAGTAAGCAAGACAAACTCTCACCACCCTCCTTTCTGAGCAGCGCCCAGGCTCCAGGACAGATCTGTTCATTCTTCTGGCAGTCTACCTGTATATTCCCAACACAATATGCTCATGATTGTACCGGCACTATCTAGTCTAACAGAAAGCCCCCGAGTGCCTCCTTTTGCCAGCATCTTTGCTAGGGTGATGTTTCTGTGTGATCCTAATGGCGAAAAGGAAAAAAAAGAAAGGAAAGGAAAGGAAAGGAAAGGAAAGGAAAGGAAAGGAAAGGAAAGGAAAGGAAAGGAAAGGAAAGGAAAGGAAAGGAAAGGAAAGGAAAG